ACCCGCCCGCCTGCGACGACCTCAGCACGGTGCTGCTCACACGCAGCTGCGTCTGCAACAGCGACGTCGCGTGCAGCACAAGCGGCGACGCCACCGCGTCCGTCAGCCCGCTCAGCTGGGAGTAGCGCATCGGCCCCGGCGTCACAATCGTCGAGTCACGGACCGTCACGTTCGTGTGTGCCGGCAGGTTGTGCACAAACACGAGCGAGCAGTAGCTCCCGGACAGCCCGCTCACGCTCACCTCCAGGCTCCGGTCACTCGCCGGCTCGCCGCTGTAGCCCCGCACGTATATCTGCGCACCGCCGTCGCACACGCAGTCCCTCAATTCGATGCGCAGCGCGCCGGGAAGCATCGCCGCAACGTCGAGCACCACAGCCACGCCGTTCGTGATGCACACGCCGTCCATCAGCACCGTGTCCAGGGCGCGGCCAACCGTGATGGCTCTGTCCACCGTGCCGCCCCGCAGTCGCAAAGGCACCGCATCCACCGCGGGCATCCACGCCGCCGCCGCAACCAGCGCCAACACTAAAAGCAGCACCGCCACACGCAGAGTCGCAGCGGCCCTGCGCCGCACGCGGTGCCGGCTGTGCGGACACGCACCCACCGCAGACGACATCCACCAACCCAAAAAGGTACCAACAGGGCTGTCGTGGTGTGTCGCACTCGCCTCGTCGACCGTGCCTCCTGCTCCGCAAATCCCTTCCTACAGATTTCAAATACAGTGACCCGATTCCGCCAGATCGTTATCCCACTACTACTTCTACTAATAATAATCCTACTGCTGCGAGTAATTCCTAAAACCTTGAAACGCTAGCTGTGGTGGTCAAGCCACAGTGTCTCTATCTGCACGGCAAAACAAGAAAGAGGCAGCAACAACAGTAGCCAGACACAGTAGCACGCAGCGGCATCCGGCCACAGACATTCCACATCACAACACAGCCAGCGAGACAAAGACGCGCAGACGCAGTCAGCCCAGTGATGCCATCGGCCTCCCACCGCCCGCGCAGCCCCACACAACCGCCGTGCAGAGTGGCGGGACCCCGGCAAAGAGGCAAATGACCATTGGCACCGCCCTTCTCACCAAATGCCTCCAGCACATGACGATCCCGATGCCGTGGACAACACACAAAAGCCGAGGCAGATACACGTGGCATTGTTGCAACCGCCAGCCATCGAGCGCGTCCGTGAACGTGGTGGTGGTGGTGGCGCGGAAGTGGGGTGGTGAGTGCGTCAGTTGCCAGTAGTCAAAGCGTCGTTTCTCGCTCACGTGGGTCGGCATTGCAGAACAAAGAGCGGCATCATGCGCGCACGGCATGCACAAGGGCAAAAGGGAGGAATAAAGAAGCACGGTGGCGACACTCAGCCACGGGGGACAAGGGTCCACATCGACTCTGCGGTCGGTTGACCTTCAGACGTCCGGTTTGTAATCACGCCGCCGCCGCGCAGTTCGTGTGTCTGCAGGGGACTGGGGAATGGAGGGAGGGAAGAGAGAGGCGGTGCGGCCCGCATCGATCTCAGTTGGGTGTGACAACGGTGAGGTCATCTCGTCAGATCGCCGGCAGCAAAGACGGTCGCCGTCAGCGGCGGTCAGTGCCTTCCTTCTCCCACCGCAGCACCACTCCACCGACGCCGTCGCCCGCCTCCTCCCCACCGACACAACGAGGAGACAAGAGCAGGAGATGTAACACCCGCAACGATCAGGCTGCCGCAGAGTCTCGTTGCAGCCGCCATGAACAGACGAGTGGGATGCAAACAAAAAAGGAAAACAATTGCCCCCTCAAGCATCTCAGCACAACGTGGAAGCACAGCAGCCGGCACACAAGGCGCAACACCGTTCAGTGGCTACCAGCACTCACCCTCAGTTACGCGGCAAAGTGGAAATGAACGAGCTCCTCCCACACAGCCATCCTGCAACACGAGTGGGTCACATGAGCAGTCACACAAATTAACACCTCGCCACGCAAACCAGCAATCAAAGACACCGCCGGCGAAGGAAGCGATGGTTGGCTGTGGCGCCCAGCCGCAATAATAAAACATGTGTCACCTTGCTTGGGGCATAAGGAAGAAGTCCAATCAAAGAGGCACACCGATTCGCACCAGAGGGAGGTAAGAGCAAACAGAAGCAAATATTCGCCTAGGGCGATTGACCGGATCGTAAAGTTATTTACGAAAATCAAGCAATACAAGGGGAAGAAGGGGTAAGTGAAAAAGCAGTGGGCTCACCACACCCTCAAGCTTTGCCCCAACTAAGTATATGTACACATATGTATTCCGATAGCCACTCTCGTGACATGCTGCACCCTATTCGGATTGGATACATACATATATATATATTAATAATAATTTACGAAGTGTCAAGCTTTGGGGCTCTCCAGCCACAAGACCCCACCGCAATGTGGGAATCAAAAGGGAGTGGGTGAGATGGTAAAATTAAATTTACGAAATTATCTGGCGGCTATCGGTTCCATGGTCCCCTACAGCCGTGGTCATACCAAAAATCATACGGTAGAAAAGTGTCGTAAAGCGTATTCATTTTACCAGGATACATATTAATTTAAATAGCCAGCCTTCCCCGCGATCATTCCCTCCACAAGCTCCTAGAAAACAACAGCGGAAGTCCATAGAACCATCACAATACTGAATGTGGGAAGCGGGGTTGCCACGGGAGTGTGAGAACGTCATGCAATACACTCGGCGATGCAGTCACAAAGCAGGTGCTTACACCACCACGGCCACCAGCACCCCACGAGCCCAGCATGGGGTGGCAGAGGATGCCACTGCAGCCAGCGGCGAGCACCGCAGTGTCTCTCACGGCTACCTGAAGACAAATGTCCCGGTGATGCGTGTGCCGGCGGGGAGACTGACGACGGTGCGGCACGGGTCATCCGCATGGGAATCGTCCAGCAGCTCGTTGCTGTACACAGGCGGAACACCCGGCGCGTTCGCGATGGTGATGTGCGGATGAACATTTTCGCAGGGGAACTCTCCCTCGTTGCGCACCGCGATCGCCGTCCCCTTCGGATCAGACGCAACGCTCGTCAGCGTGAGCTCAATGGACTAGCCCAGCAGCCCCACCAGCTGCTGCAGCAGGACAGGGTCCTTGCAGGCGTCACGACCCAGGTACAGCGTCGTCACATGGAAGGCCTTCTGCACCTTCTTGCTGTCCAGCATCTCTGGCGGCACAAGCTCAAGAACCCTCTCGGGTGACGCAATCTGAATTGCAGCATACTCCACGTGGCGGGGGAAACGGCACAGAAAAGACTCGCAGGCGTTCGCCACGCCCAATGCTGCCGCCATGTCGAGTGTCTGAATTTCGGGTATGTCCGTCAAACCACGTGCGGAAAGTTCAGCCCAAACGCGCCGTGCAATGGCGGCAGTGTCGTCTGCCACGCTTACCTCAATGAGCGGCCCCTCGGTTGGTGGACGGCACCGCGTCGCGCAGTCCAGCAGCGTTTGACGCACGCGCCGCCCTTCCCTTCTGTCCGCCTTGAAAGTGCGGTGGGCAGAACTACGGCGACGGACTCGGTCGAAGCAGATGTCCACTAGTGCATCCGTGCCATCGGGGTGTGGCCATACCACTGGCAATGCCCTGAGCCCGAGATCGGCGTAGTCGTCGCGTGCGGCCTCATCGAGGTTCATCTTGTCGATGATGAGGTGCGTGTGGCCACCTCGCTGCGCGCGCCGAATGGCGTCAAGAAACTGCCGCCTTCCCCCGGCCTCGTCTTGGTTGATCCAGCATGGCGAAAGCCCTGCCTGGCGCAGCAGAGCGTACAGGGTGCGGGAGAATGTGGAATTGCCGCAGCCCTGCGGACCAACGCAGACGACAGCGTCGGGGTCGCTGGTGACGGCGTCGTCACCGGACGGCTCGCAGTGCATCACTTGGGACCGCACGTGCGCATCGGCGGCGCAGGTCTTGCAGCCCGCCAAGGCTCGTTCGCGCCGTTTGCCGCCCCGTCACATGCAGCCACGCTGCAAACCGCACAAGGTATTCGAGGCGTTCCGCTTCCCAGTCGCCGAGGCACCGGCGCACCTCCTCTGGCAGCCCGGCGAGCTTGCCTGCGAGCCTCAAGCGGAGCGCCACACCGCACAAACGGTGCGTGACGATGGCGTCCTGCGCCGCACGCTCCATTGCGTATGCGTGAGACCGCTGCCTCCACATCCGCACAAAAACCCCCGCCTCGTTGCAGCCGTTCACCACCGCACCCTCACGGTTAAGACGACGCGCCATGCCGTCTCGCAGGGCTGCGTATTCGTCTGTCCCCAGCTCTACTGCCGGTTGCGGCGTCACAACGTCAAGACCGAAGGACTGCAGTGCCGCCATGCTGCTCGCGGGATCGGCACAGAGGCCTTCATGCGGGGTCGCACCACGGCAGGTAACGGCGTAGAACCTCAGTGTCTCACGGGGCCCGTGGTCGACGAGGTGTCCACATTCCCGCAGAATACCATCAAAGCATGCGGTGCGCCCCGTAGAGCTCAAATAGTCATGCAGAGCAGCGGCCCTTCCCTCCGGCAGCGCACGCAACGTGTCTCGCCAGACGCTCGCCACACGTTTGGGAACCGCAGCGCGTCACGTGCCCGAGTGGCATAGCCCCTAGCGGCAGAAGCGTCCGCTACATCTCCTGAACAATCCCCGCAGCAAATGCCGCACCCATCAACGTTTTCGTAAGGTCGTGTCGCACCCCTTCTCCCTCGGAAAACCCCGCGGCCCTCCTTCCCGTGGCGCGTGCCATCGTGGTGCGGCCCCCGCCCCATTGCAGCCTAATAGTCCCCTATCTACTGTTGGTGTAAAATACTTCTTGTACAACTGCAAGGGGAACACCAGGCGTTCACGTGCAGTCCAGCAGAAGCCACAGCAAACAAATATACGCGGTGGGTACCACAACAACCAGCACGCCCCCACCTAAATGCATCATCTTCACGGACACCACACTCAGCCACACCACTCCCGTTGCATGTGCGCCCTCTCTCCCCCATCATCCCTTCCTCCCTCCTGCCGGCATTCACAGAAGAATGCTGCGGATGCCGGAGAAATGTTCCACGTCGGCATCTGTGACGCCAGCCCGCCGCGCCTGCCACCCCGACAAGACGTGCCGCACAACGACATCCGCGGCGAGTTCCTTTACCTCGGCGCTGTTCATCTCACCCCTGCTGTACTTCGACGTCACCTCCGCGAGGAGATTGTCGTCGGGGCAGAAGAACCGAATGAGTTGGTACGCCACGTCTGCGTGCAGGTTGACACCCTCCGCACGCATGTCCTCCAACGTGCCACCCCCACCAGAGAAGGCCTTGCGCACCTTCTTCCGCACCTCCTGCTCCGTGTCGTGTAGTGTGATGACTCCGTTCCCCTCGGCGCTGCTGCTCATCTTGAACTGCGCTCCCTTCAGTGCGGGGAGGAACTTTGTGTGCAGCAGTGCGGGGGCGCAGCACTTCATACGCGGCGCGACGTTGCGTGCCAGGAGGAAAAAAGGGTCCTGATCAATTGCACAGGGAATGATGCACTTCAGCGGCGGGTCCCCAGCTAGCCGTGGTAGCACACGGGGGAAGGCACTGCTAAAACACGGCGCGGCCTGCACCGCTGGAAAGGCTGCCTTTCCAACATTGTCGCTATCCTTCAGGCCAAATGTATTCTTCACAGCGCTCAGCGTCAACATGCGCTGCACCTGCACGACAGTTGGGTACATGTCCCCCATGTACACCGTGTTGCGGAATATAAATGTCTTGCGTGGATCGAAGCCAAAGGCAATGA